CTCAAGCAAACTAAGATGTAGGAAGAAAAAAAAACAGAGATATTCTCCCTCATCTGTGGACTACATCATCAAAGCAAGGAAATAGACATTGCTTAATTAACAATGAAGTACTTTTGGCATTAGAAGACAGAAACAGCAGCAAATTGATGGCAGTGAAGCCAGTAAAGGCCAACCTAGGGGGGAAATAGCAGCATGGGAGAGGAGACAGGCATTGTGTTGGTGGCAGAGGAAAGCAATTTTGCATATCCATACCTAAAAATATAATACCATCGTAAATTCCTGAGCTATCAAATATAATCACGGTCACGGTCCTCCCGTTGTTCATCGATTTGCTCGAGCGGGCCCAGTAACGTCTCCATCATGAGACTCGTTGTTACTATGTTTGGCATATCAAGTACGTCACCGGTAGCTTGACAGGCTCTGCTGTGCGGGCGAGATACTCTCGGTACCTTGCCGGGCTCTCCGAGAGGGGCGGAGGAATTGAACTCGGGTCGGCCATGTTGGCTGCTTGTAAGGCAAATGCCCTACCGCTGTGCTATCGCTCCAGCCCATCAAATATAATAAAAATAATAAATGTTGAATATCCATCCATTGAATCAATATATATAAAAAATTATCTCTTCCTCATTTCATGCAAGCACTCAACATAAGTGATAAAAACAACATAAAATGTGGATTGTCTCTTGTGCTGTGCTTTTAAGAGGCATTTTGTGTTCATCTTCATTGTCTTTTTGGGTGCTTGTATCCTGGTCACAGCTCCAGACTTAACATATATTACAAAGAAACAATTTTTACAAGAGTATCACTAGCTTTGAAAATCTATGTGAATTTGGAGCAAGCAAAGAGGACACATTTTTTAATTCAAAAGTTAGCTTTATGTTTCTTTTGATTTTATTTCATAAATATACGTTATGGGCTTGTTTATAAGCACTGCAATCTATGTAAGGAAATAAAGACTCAATTCTATAGTTGGTTTTTTTCCCCTTTTCTTTAAACACTGGGAATATCTTTTAAAGAGTAATAAAGAGAGAAGCAATCCTCAGTGATATGTTGCCTCTTAAGTTACCAATTCAAAACCTGGAATGATCTTTACTGCCACATGTTGATACCATCCAATTAATAGATGTATTTTTAGGTGCATTCTTCTCAAACTAGCCATCCTGAACTGATCTTCCTTGGTGAGCAAAATTTTGTACATATTCAAATACCATGAAAACCCCCTACCTGCCTTTATTATATTATATATAGCAAGCCATTTACTACACATACAAAATAACCCAAAATATTTAAAAATCTTAAGTGTTGATTTAATCTAGAAATCAACTTCCTAGTTAACAAGAGGAAAGCGGCTCATTTCCTGCCATCTGAAAATGTGTAACATATCCCATGGCTCTGAATTCTGCTCTAGGACAATCCTGTCCCGGTCTATCCAGGAGATATGCACAAGGACAATTATGACGGTGATGTTTGTTATAAGCAGAAACTGGGAATAAGACAGTGTCTACTAGTCAATAGTATTTCTATTTTTGCTCTAATTTGTTTTGGTTTTGGACCACACCTGGAGGTGCTCCAGGAATTGGGGATTGAACCCGAGTCAGCTGCATGCAAAGCAAATGCCTGCTGCTATATTATTGCCTGGCCACAGTATTTTTTATTATTTTTTTAAATTATGCTTTCTTTATAATAAAGTGAAGTTTACAAATAAAAAAATTCCCATGTTTCATTTTTCTCAGTTTTTTTTGGGGGGGGCTATTCTAGGGTGTGAGATAGACATGATGTAAATTTCAACAGCATTTGATCAAGGTCTTTAAGAAATAAAATGAGCGTTTTTAGATTTCATTGACTCCGTACAATGTTTTGGGAACAGTTTCATTTTGACAATTTATGTCTTCCAATGAATGAACAGTAGATGTGTTTCCATTCTCTTCTGTTATCTTACTTTTTTTGTAGTGTTTTATAGTTTATTATTCTTGTATAAGTTTTCACCTCCCCATAAAGCAGATTCCCAGGTACTCTACTTAGTGAGGCCCAATTATGATTTTTAAAACAATTTCTCCCTCTTCTCTTTTATCATTTTCTTATAAATAAACTATGAATTTCTCTGGCTTGGTTGTATAGCCTATCACTTTGCTATATAATTCTATTGTTATTTTTAATATCTTATGCACGGAGCCTTTAGGCTCTTCTAAATATAGTCTCATATCATTTGTAAATAATATGAACTTGACTTCACCTTTTCCCATCAGGATCCATTTATAATTCTTTTTTGATTAATTGCCGTGTCAAGGACTTTCAATGCTATATTAGATAGTAATGGTGAGAGAAGACAACCTTGTCTTGATCTTAAAGTCAGAATTTTACCATTGAGAATGATATTTGCTGTGGGATTGTATTAAATGTCTTTGCATACGTTGAGGAAAAGCCCTTCAATTCCCAATTTATAAGTGCTTTTTATCAAGAATGGGTGTTGGATCTCGTCAAAGGCTTTCTGTGAATCTATTGATTGATAAGATCATATGATTTTTCCTTTTCCTTTTTAGATACTGTATACTTTACTGATTGAAAGCTGTGGTAATCAAAGAAGTTTGGTATTGGAATAATGATGGACTCTCAGATCAATGGAACAGAACTGAAAACTCAAAGGCAGATAATGAGCTATATGGACATCTTTGATAGAGAACAAAGTATAAAGTGAAACTTGAAAACCCTTTTAAACAAACATTTCTGGGAAAACTGGTTGGTCACATACAAAAGAAAAAATGAAATTAGAACATTATGCACACAACTTAAATAAAAATGCATTAAAGGCCACCACAAAAGACCTGAATCTATAGATTAAATTGAATAAAACATAGGTGGAATGCTTCATGGCATTGAATCTAGAGGTTCATAGAGAAACAAATGGAACTACATCAGGCTGGAGTCTGCACTGCACATGAAATGAAGCTCAAAACAAAAACTTGCACCACAGACTGGGAGAGGATATTTCCCACCACTCATTTATAAGAGATTGATAGCCAAGACATATAATGCGCTGTAGAAATTTACAAGGATATAAAAACATCAATAAACTTTATCAAAAATTGGGAGAAGTATAAAATTTGTCAAAAGACACATAGATGATGCAGAGGTGTATAAAAAAATGCCCTGCATCACGTTTCATCAGGTAATGAAAAATGAAACAATGAAATATCATCTCTGACCAATGAAACCACACACATCACCAAGACCAGAAAGAATGGGTGCTGGCAAGGACACAAAGAAAGAGGGACCCTCCTTCACGGCTGTTTGGAATATCGACTGGTCCAGTCTTCTTGGAAAACAATATGGTCATTTGTTAAAGAAAGAAAGAAGGAGAAGAAATCTGTTATATGACTCAGCAATTCTATTTCTTGGCTTCTGTCCCAAAGTCCACACATCTCTACTCAGAAACAAAATGTGCACTATTTTTGTTGCAGCACTATTTCCAGTAGCCCAGATCTGTAAACAGTGCAAGAATCCAAGAACAGATGACTGGATAAAGAAAGGTGCTATTTTAACAATGTCATCTTACTGGGCTTTAGGAAAATAGGAAATAATTCAATTTAGTGTTATGTGGATCGATCTGAACTTCACTCAGCATTATAGAGTGAAGCTAGCCAGGAGAGGGCCAGATACAGAATGTCTCTCATAAGTGGACCAGAAAGAAACAGCACAGGGATCTAGCCAATGCCAAAGTGAGAGGGAGTGGGTTTTCAGTAGATAGATAATGAGGGGGTGGATGAGGGCTGCTGGTAGTGGTCAAAGGAGGGTGACACCCAGGCGGGAAGGGTGGGCAGGAGTGTTTAGGCATGAAACCCTGCTATGGAAAGCTTGGTAACCTGGTAAACCACATGGTGCCTAAAATAAAACTTAAAAAATGTTAAAAGTAATAAGGAAAATAAGCAACAAAGAAAATAAATATTTGCTGCAATATTCCTAGATTTCAAACCAAATTATGTGCAAGAAATCTGTGTAAAGGGCAAAGTTTTAAATTTTTGAAAATTGCTAAATTACATATTTTTGCGTGACATTTTATACATATGACTTTGATTTTTCTGTACTCTAGACTGACTAAGCAGAGTTTTGGACAAAGGAGATTATCCAGACATAAATCATATCCAGCATTTCACAAAAATGACAATCTTCAATTTGAATCATGCAATCTCTAATTATCTACAATTACATAGGGCTTATGGCTCTATATGTTTTATTCAAACATTTTTCAGTAGAAGGAAGGCAGTGCTAACAATTATTAGATTATCAGAGAACTGTGATGAGGAGACAGTGAAAATAAAATGCAGAGATGAGAAAGAAAGTTCATGTTGGACTAGAAAGAGAAAAGTTATAGGAGCTCCTCTTTAAAAAAAAACAGACATAGCTCACTGTACTGGTACTGAACTGAACAATAATATCTTCTGGTTTTTTTCATGCTACTGGGGTTTTAATAAGACATTCCAATTCTGATAAAACTATAATATCCTAGATGTATATATGTTTATAAATATATAAATCATGTACAAATGTTTAGACTTAATTATCGCATATCAAAAGCTGGTAGCCACTTATCGAATTAATGTGGTTGTCTACACTTTTGAATACAACTGACTGTTAAATGTAGTGTTGATCTGGAGCTGAGGAGAGAGTACAGCATCAGGGCAGTTCCTCTCATACGGTCCACGGGGGTTGAGGCCATGGCACTGCATAAGGTGCCCGGAGCCTGGCCAAAGTGATCCAGGACACAGAGTCAGGAGCACGTGCTGAGGGTCTGCTCAGTGTCCCCCACCAGATATAATATATATAATTATAAAATAATTATATATATAATATATACACTTTACATATATATAATATATATACACTTTAACCAAGTGAGCTAAAAGTCTAATCTACTTTAATCATCCTCAAGTCAAGTTACATACACTAAAGCAATTTCGAACACAGAAACACCATGTGCAGGGACTTCTTGGGTCAGTACTTACATTGTGCTTTGTGAGGTTTGAAATATTAGTTGCTATTGCTTGTAGCCAATCAATACACTCTTCAGCGGAGAGACACAGAATAATCCCACTGCACACCCCATCCACAGCAATTACTTGAAAAGCATTCTGCCTGCAGATGTCAGAACAAACCACATCAAAATAGAATCTTACTTATTGGAACTTTAAACTGCATCTGGTGAAAAGCTCTTCTTGCAAACCACATGAATGTAGTTTCAGATTCATGTTCGCATGACTTCAATTACGAAAGTATCTTCTCTGAAAGTAATGCCAAAGATACTGAAAACATGTGACTTTAAGTTAGAAGAAAGTGTCTTGATATAAGGAAAAGATTGGAGAAAATTCAATATACAGAAAATGCACCGTGTAAATAAAGCATCTCTAAGACATTTGAGGGCCAGGGTGATAGTATGTCAGGTAAAGTCCTTTGCACACAGCCAGCCTGGGCTGGATCCAAAGCACCACAAAGGGTCCCCGGATACTGCCAGTAGTGAACCCTGAGCGCAGAGCCAGGAGTAAGCCCTGACCATCACTAAATCTGCTCCCCCAAAACAAAAGAAAAAATATTTTTAACATTTTAACATTTTAGAGAAATGCTTTCAGTTTACCGTAAAATTATTTGTTGAAGTATATTTTGCCCACTATCATCTCCTCTTGATTTTTCAGTGCATTTTCTGATTCATAATGAAAAGATCCCCAAAAACCAAACCACACAAATATTGGACGTCATATTAAAATATAACTGGTCATTACATAAAGTACGTAAAGGATTTTGTCAGATGCTCAGTTTTCACACTCAAAGTTTATGCAAATGTTGTACATTTCTCTAAAAACCCAAAGTTTTTTTTTTTTTAAAAATCAATGGCTAGTTTAAAGTTTGATATTTTAAAATTTGTCATCTTTACTTGTTGTCAGAGAAAACTGAATTTCATTATTCTAAGCTGCTTGCAAAAATGCTATAGCATTTGTAATAGTTCCCTACTGCTTTAATGATTTACTTCTTCCTTTCCAATATCAAGTTTTTGCAGGTTTTGCTGTCAACGTAATGGAGGGGTATAGCTAAAAATTCGTAAATAATCAAAGTATGTCAAATCCTAGCGTTTAAGATTCATCTGTCCTGCCAAGTGAGACAATTTGAAAATCCACATTCAAATTATGAAGGAAAAGGATAATTCTGCTGTACATTATTCCAAATACTGCTATTTCTATCAATTTCTAAGTTTTTCTATTAATCTCACCTTTAGACAACATTTGCATTTTGAAAGCGGGTCTTTGTTACAATTGCACATGATTTCACGTCTCTTTTATTTTCAAACAGCGGAGACCCACAGAGCATATACCCAGATCTCTTTATTACACCGCGTGCACCATCTACATACAGCACACACAACGGGACCCTTGGCGTCTCACGAGCTCTGCTGGAGGTGGCCCAGAAGGACAGACCTCAGCGGGTGTCTCTGAGCTGAGCAAACTTTTATACCAAAAATAGATGAATTAAAGAACTTATCTGAGGCCCAGCCCTTTGCACAAGAATTAATCCTCAGGTAAGGAGCACTCTAGGAGCTTCTTGGAATGGCTTGGGGCAAGGGTCCTGCAGGCAGAAAGCTGCAGGGTGGGGGAGAAGGAGTTGAGGGGCCAACCAAACCCTGGCGCCCTGGAAAGTACCAAACTCTGCCTTGGGAAGCAGGGAGTGTTGCACTGAGACAACGGTGTCTCAGCACACAGCTGGGTTCCCGGGTACACAGCTGGAATCCCGGGTCACAGCTGGAATCCCAGGTACCCTGCTGGATTCCCGGGTACACAGCTTGTCTCCTCTGAATGAGAGGGGTCAATCTGGGATGCCCAGGGAAGTGAGTAAGCATAGACATGTCTGTGGATCCCCCAATCTGCTTGTGAGAGGGACGCTGGGATCCAGTCCCACCTGCCCAGGCAATAGCACAATCTCAAGCTGAGGGATTCGCTGTAGGGTGCTCTTAGCTGATAGCTGTCAGCTGGCCAGCACCTCTGGCTACGCAGGTTCCTTCCCTGGCACAGAAGTTTAGAGGACAGGCTTTGGGAGAGGATCCAGTCCTTAAGCCTAGCCCCCGAACCCCAGAGCATGCATACACCCACGTGCCAGTTACACACACACACACAAACACACACACACTCTCACACACTGCTTGTGTGTTTCTAGTCTGCGACCATCTGGAGCCCTTAACTACCATACCAGTCCTCTCAGTGGAGGTGCTGAGGTGACCTTCAGTCTTAAAAGTCTCGCCCCTCATGGCTGAGTGAACTCAGCATGCAGCTACCCCAGTTCACTCACAACCATCAATTGTCTGTGCTGATGGGAGTTATTTCTGGACCCTGTATTCTGATTTTCAAATTTTCAATACTGTGTCTTGTATCTTACTGTAATATCAGTCTTCAAGTTGGCTCTACAAACATCACATAATAATGTTGGGATTTGAATTTTGATTACTTTTATCTATGGATCAAATACCTAGATATAAATCAAAGAACTGACTTGCTGAAAATATTGAGTCTTTCTCTCCTCTGAATTTGATTAAAGTTTTTCAATTTTCCTCATGGATCTTACATATGTTTCATTACATTTGTACATAAATAGTTCATTGATTTGAATAATGCAAAGTGTAGTGGAAGGCTAATTTCAATTCTATTTGTTCATTGCTGGTATAAAGGAAAGTGAGAGATTTTCATACATCAACATTTCCCCCTGCAAACTTCCTATAATAATTTAGCTTTAGAAATTTGGATTTTTCTTATTATTTCTTCCACATTTTCTATATAGGAGATGATGGTATCATCGACACATAAAATGTTTTTCCTAATAGTTATGCATTTTATTTTTCTTATTGTGAACATTAGCACCATGTTAGAGGAACTGATAAGAGAAAGATGATGTTTATTTTTTGTGGGAAAATTTAGTTTCTAACTATAGATTCAGATTTTTAGCTAGAAAAATCATAAACATTCTTCGTAAAAAATTTAAAATATCTTAATGCAAAGCGGTAGGGCGTTTGCCTTGCACGCAGCCAACATGGCCGACCCGAGTTGGATTCCTCCGCCCCTCTCGGAGAGCCCGGCAAGCTACCGAGAGTATCTCGCCCGCATGGCAGAGCCTGGCAAGCTTCCCGTGACATATTCGATATGCCAAACACAGTAACAACAAGTCTCACGATGGAGACGTTACTGGGCCCGCTCAAGCAAATCGATGAACAATGGGAGGACAGTGACAGTGATCTTAATGCAAGTAATTCAATTTTGAGATTAACATTTTTACAAAATTTCTTTACTTAACCATTTTTTGACAATTCAATTTACCATTTTATTATAATAAGCAATATAAAATAGTTATTTTGTGCCTACCAAGAGGGCAGAGTTTGGGGGTGTGTGGAAAATGGGACAATTGTCTCTGTGGGCAGGGCATTCCCTTTTGTTCTCTCTCTCCTTTTGGGTGTTCTGGTCTGCAAAAGAGGCATTGAGTGGCAAACATGTTCAGTCCATAGTCTACTTTCGACATGCATCTCCCCTCCTGGGAGGATCCTCCAAACACCCTTTATTTGGTGCTCCCTTCTCTATCTGAGCTGCCCTTTCCCCTAGAATGCCCGACTGGCCTCTAAGGGTGGGATGGGGGGGTTGGGGGGGAGGGATATTATCCATGGTGGTGGAAAATGGGCACTGGTGGAGGGATGGGTATTTGATCTTGGTATAACCGAAACCCAAGCACAAAATTTACAAATCTACAACTGTACCTCATGGTGTTTCACTAGTAAAAAAAAAAAAAGATAGAGCTTCTCATCCCGCCAAGACAACGAGTTGCCCCCCACGAGGCAGTTCTCCGGCATGGCCATGTACCCAGATGCACACAGACTTAATTTGGAATCCAGCAGCTTTTGGCAGCTATGTGAATGGACTATGCATCAAGCTATGGTGCTGTGTTCCCCCACCCCTGGGAGGGAAAGGGTGTCTGTCTCTTCTGCCTCCTCCCCTCCCCCCCACGGCATAGTGGCTGCCACCTCAGACCCTGTTGGACAGCCAGTTATGAGCCGGTAGTGGGCAGTGACAGGGCAACTGTGGCCTCATGGGATGTGAAGTGGAACTGGCATGTCTTTCCCGCCCTGCTGAGACCACGTGTTGCCCCTCCATGAGTGGCTCACCGGCATGGCCATGGACCCAGAGGCATACAAAGCAATCTTGGAACTATGTGGCTTTTGGCAGAAATCCCTCTTGACTTAATTAGTAAAATATCAGAAACCGAAAATCACAAGGCTGCTATTGTGGCCACGCGACATCCTATGCTCTTCATAACCAGCAATAGAAAACAAATGATTTCACAATGCCTTTTCAGCAGGTATGATTTTGGGGGGGAAATTCCAAATAATAATGGCGCATCTTTTGTCAAAATAATGAAAGTCATCAAAGTAGAGAGAGTTCAGTGGAAATCATCTGCCTCACAGGCAGGGGAAGGGATGGGATGGGGGCTATACTGGGATTCTTCACTTAATCACTTAACTTCCCGTTAGTCGTCGATTTGCTCGAGCGGGCGCCAGTAACGTCTCCATTTGTCCCTGTCGCGTGCTAGTGTAGCCCAATGGCATCTCTTCGCTCCGGGAACATGGAGGGCCTCAAACCGATCGTTCATGACCTTGACAAAGAAGTCTGACCATCTGGTAGGTGGGCGGCCACGCGGTCTCTTGACATCCCGTGGAATCCAATCAGTAACAGCTCTAGTCCAACGGTCGTCTTTAAATCTCATTACGTGACCAGCCCATCTGATTTTCGACACCTTGGCAAATGAGACAGCGTCCCTGATCCTTGATCGTCAATGGATGTCAGAACTCCGGATTCGTTCTCTCATTTGAGTGAAACGCGATATTCCAAGCATAGCTCTTTCTATTCTTCTTTGGGAGACCTGAATGGCGTTCTCATCTTGTTTGCGTAGGGCCCAGGTCTCTGAGGCATATGTTAATGCAGGAAGAACAGTGGAATCAAAGAGATGTGCCCGGAGCCGGAGGTTCTTCGTCCTCTTAGCTATTTCTTCGACATTCTTGAAGGCGTTCCAAGCCGCTCTCTTCCTCCTGCGCAGCTCGGGTGCCAGGTCATTTC